CCTCCCTTCCCTTCTGGAGCAGCAACAGGCAATAGTTTCGGCACAGACAGTGCTTGGCTTCCTTAGGTTTGCTGGGTGCAGCTTAAGAATTAACTTGCTTTTTAAAAAAATGTATTTTGAAGAATGGAAACCTCACCAGAGCAGTGTTACTGTGAGAAATCTCTAGCGTGAGAGGAATGACCTCCAGTTCCCTGCACCTCAGTGAGCTTTACGTGACGAGTGAGGTTAACTCTGCTGCGTGATTTAGGGACAATAGAGGCTACAGTTCACATGTAGATGCAAATGAAAATCAGTATTTAACTCTAAGAAAGCCAGCTTTTACTTGCTCTCTCCTAGTTCTAGTTGTATTCCTTCCAATGAAAATAATAATAATCTTAAATTTTTTTCCAGACAATTTTTATCCAGGAGTCTTGGTGTACCTTACAGACTGATGCTCTGAGCTTCCCAGCCTGCCAGTAAGAGACATGTTGTCTGACACAGGGGCAATGACAGGCACAGGGACTGCCATGGGATATTCTGAGCCAATGTTAGCAAGGATTTGAACCCAGCATCATGCTTCTGCATTTTTATAGTAATACAGACCTACACATACCTATGCAATGATTTTACTCTAAAAGCCATTTGTAATAGCAAGGAAGTTAAAAAAAAAAAAAGGCTAAAATCAGCATTTAATTTTCATAATTCTCCTCTTTTGATATTGTATTATTATATGCATTTCTAAGGCTTTCTTTTGAAGGAGGAAAGGCATATTAATTTTAAGTTATTACTTCATACTGTTCATTAGCTACTAAGTACTTTTAGAGTGGTTTATGACATTATTTCAAACTCCTACAAGAAAGGTGGGCCTAAAAAAGCATGTTGTTGTTTGAAGATTGTGAGATTTGAGCAATGATGGAAGAGAATACAATTGTCTTGGATCTTTCAAGGAGAACAACTTTCTCCGTGTCTCATGAGTTCACATATTAATTTTGTTTTCTGGACCATTTCCTCAAATGCTGCTAATGTGGTGAGGTATGGAAAAAAAAAGTACTGAGATAATGGGCCCTAATTTCTTCCTTTAAAGACCAAAATAAGCAGATAGGTTCCAGAACTTTAATGTGGTGTCTTCCTAGAAGGCAGACGTCAGCATTGTGTATCAAATACAGCTTCTGAACGGGTTTTGTGTGTTGCAAAAGTCCAGCCTGGAAAAGTGTACTGAATAAAACACCTTTGATAGGTTAGAAAAATGTCCCCAGTGATCTGGTTAGTAAAAGATAGAAAGTGGTGGTGGTGCTGCTGTTTGGCTCTGCAGAATAAAGAGCAGCTCTATCATTAATCATCATTCTGGCTGAAAACAGGATCTGAGGTGAAAATGACTTTGCAGTTTCACGCAGTTTCTTATAATTTTTCCTGTCCTCAACCTATGTTGCATTGGTCCAGTTGGGATTGCCCTTAAGTAACCTGCTTGTTTTGTTCAGGTCCTCATTTCACAGGAAGACTTGCACAGCATCAGCAAAACTTTATTGTCCATATTTGCATAGACCTAGATGAAGAATCAAGGATCAGAGAAGAGCTGGAAAGTATAAGCTTTCCAAGACTTTACAGTAGGGAAATGAAGCAGCTGCTCATCACAGCCTTCAGAGGTCTAGCATAAAAGTGAATGGAGCTGTCTTCAATTACATCTGTCCATTTCTGACAGGTGTGAAGGTGCAATTGAAGTTCCTTTGATCAGCAGTTAACTGCTGATGAATACTCTGAAAAAACTCATAATCCTGTGTGACACTAGGTAAATGTTCTGAGATCATGAATCCATGTAGTGTATTGCCCCAGAGCATAGATACAGGGATTTAATCAAGCTGAACTTGATTTACTCTCCCTTCTCTGCAAATTTATCCAACAAAATAAAGTCTGAATCCAGATACAGTTCCTGAGAGCATCAATATCCTTGTTTTGCTTCTCACCTTTCCCACTTGTTACGCTCCAGGCATTTCTTTTTATTCTTTGTAAGTTGTTTGGGGCAAAAGGTTCATCTGTGTATGTGAACATATATACACAGGCTATCACATGTACATAGGCTGCTGGTTGCTTTCAGTATGTTGGGAGGCATTAGCAAATGGAATAATCCCTAAAGGCTTTCACCACCCAGCAAGGCAAGGCACAGTCCTATCTTTGACAGATGTGCTTCTCACAGGAGAGAGTCCATCTCTCCATCTTTGGTCCTAAATCAAAGATAATAAGAGTTCCTCATTTCATTATATTCTTGTTAGAGAAACTCTTCCAAAAGTTTACAGTTCCCCCCTGCAAACCAACGTATAAAGCTGCTGCAAGAACCACCAGTATTTGGATGAAGAGCTTGCAGATAATTTCTGCAAGTTCAAGGTGGAAGAACCCTGCACTGAATGCAAAGCCAGTTCAGTGTTCCAAGGAAAAATGGAAAAAGTTATTTGTCACAATTACATTCAGATCTATTTGCATGCCACTTCTTTCTCAATGCCCATGTGCATAGTCAAGCTACTGCCACTAGCAGATGCTGAAAACTTGTAGAGGCAAGTTCAGAAACTGTTTGAGAGCTTGTCCTTTGACAGCAGATGGCTGTAGTGCTTCAGCCACCAGATGATCTGCCTTGTAGTGGTGTTCTTCATCTGGGTTTCCATGCTGTCCAAGTAGTAAAGTTTCTTAAGAACATGCAGATTTTGTCAGAGACCCAGTCAGTCAGAATTTGTAATCCCAGTGGCTGAACCATAATATGTGTATTTACTCCAAGTATGACAAAGATTCAATCCAGTTTGTGTCCATATGAGTGGCACCGGAGAGACTGCATGGGAGGTTGGGCTTGCTGTGTATGTGAAACCACTGCTTGTGAAGACAGTAGCTCATGCTTTAACTAGGACCTGTGCAAAGAATGTCACAGTGCAAGAAAGGTGAAAGATGGCACACACCTGTACTGATCCTGGCCTATGTTAAGTAGTGCTTTGCTTTACTGCGATTCCAGCTGCTTGTCTTTAGTGCAAACATTCAACTGAGTGAGTTAGAAGTAAGCTCTCCAGTGCAGAAATCTCCTGAGTCTTTAAAGACTGTGAATGTCGTCTTTGTACTTCTATCCTGCAGCCAGAGTCAGTTTGTTAGGAAGTCAGTCACGGAAGGTAGCCATTCTTGCTGTTCATTTAGTTCCATGGTTGCACATAACTGGAGAGGGTACTTTGAAAGGTAACAGATCAAACATGACACAGGACTTATGTTGTGCATATTATGGTATAACAAACCTGTGGAAGGAGACAGGGGGAACAATGGTGGCCAAGAAACCCTTGAAAAGTACAGAAAGACAAACAGAAGAGATAAGTAACAGGTGAGCAGCACAGCTCGTGACACCTCGTTTTACAGGGCTTTGAATTGTGTTGTTCCTTTCTGATTCTGCAGTCACCATAGATACATTTCCCCTCAACTTCCCTCCTCCCTCAAGTCCTCAACTACTGTAGTTTGCCATGAACTGCATAAGAGACTACATGTACTGCAAGCGAGCATGCACAAGCCCAAAGCTGCACAAACACCCATTGCCCAGCTAGGTGCTGCCTCCTGGCTGCCAGGTGAGCCAACCAGCCTGCGCTTCCTCGCAGCCGCTATCAGACCAAACAAATAGCTTCAGGAGCTGCAGTCAACCCGTGGGCCATGTCCTATGGAGACCTGTTTTAGGAACTTGCAGTGTTAAAGCCCTTCAGCCCTTTGTCGGGTGTGACTAAAATTGGACAAGAGTCAGAAGGTAGTGGGAGGGGGAGGACTGGCAGCTGACAGCAATCACAGAAGCCCTTCCCCAGGCTAACCATGACATGAGTAAGCATGAGTCATAGCATAAATTGATGAGCCTAAAATTATCTACAAGGATGAATACCATCTAACTGGCCCAACACATTATGGGCTTTCTGCTTTCTCTGGAATTGGCAGGTTTTGGCTTTGGGTACCGATAGGCTGACTGCTTTACTCTAGGCCAGTAATAGTCTGACAGCTCCAACTGCATTTTTTTTTATTTGGGCCTGCTGCTTTTACTTTTACATGGAGATTCAGCAGCAACCTTCTTCCCTACAGTGCCCTCTAGGCATTACTGATTTGGTGCTGAAGCTTGTATTTTCTTCTCCTGGCAGCTCCTTGCCCTCTGGCATTGAATCCAAGATGACAGTCCAGCCCCTCCCCTCCAGCATTGTTCCCAGGCTGTCGTGTCAGACAGCAAAACAAATACTCAGTGGCTCAGAGCTCCTTGCATCCAGGAGAAATTGCATTTTCACACTGGCTCTGAACCTCCACTGCAGAGCCAAAGCAAAATTAATGCGGAAACTAATCCCTTTGCCCCTACCACGCACATCCTTTTCAATGGTGGAGCCAAGAAAGACTGAAGAAAATTAACCTTTTCTGTAAATTTCTCTTGAGATAGGAAATACCCTGCCTTTCACTTTCTCTTCTTCTTCTTTTCCAGCCACTGCATCAGGGAAACCAGTCTTCCCTGGAGCAGGAAAGCACCTTCTTATTCTTCCTACTACTAATGCTACAAGTTTATTTTAAGAAATTTCATACCTATACAGGATTGCTATAGCTAGTCTTGGCTCTTTATAGCTATTAGCTAGGCCAAGTAGGTGATAGAGCTTGTTAAAGTAACTGCTGCCCACTCAGAAGCAGACAAGAATAGCTGTAGCCTCTCCTAGGGATCAAGTATACAAGTCTGGAGCTCCAGGGGTCCCTTCCTGTGACATATGACATTGCCACCATAGCCATGGGAATATGCTTCTGTGTGAAACTAGATGCAGACATGTGGAAATGAGGGCAGCCTGTAATACTAAATTGACAAAAGAAGAAAGGGTATCAAGGTTTCTGGTCTCCCTGATTTCCCTCTTTTCAGGGTGTCACAAACTTCAGTGCACTGTGAAGCGGTCAGGCAGAACTGACCGCAATCCTCCCAGCTTAGCAACAGCTTGCTCCAGGAACGCTGTCTCCTTCTCCTTTGCAGTGACTCATTAGCACATGTTCTTGCACAGGCTCCTGGACTGCCCAGCTAGAGAAGGGAGGCACTGTGGTGGTGCTGCGGAGCTTGCTGTGGCTGGGACTGACATTCTACCATGTCCCAATGTCCAAGCAATATGGCTACGTCTACTTTGGCACTGGCGAGAAGAACTTAGATCTGCCCTTCATGCTGTGACTCTCCTGTCTGGGATGAGGACTTGAGAACATTTAGATTTTATACTTAGGAGATTTTTTTTTACTGCTTGTTCTAATAAATGTGTGAAACCTCTGCACTTTGAGCAGGATTCTTTCTTTTGTGCCTGGATTCTGGCCCCGATTCTTCTCCTAGGACTTCACTGTAATCCTCCCTCAACTCCAGATTGAACTCCCTGTAATGTGTCACTACAGAACCTTTACATAGTAACACATGGCATTTTCTTCCATGACGGCCAAAGCCCTACGTCAGAAATCAATCCTAGGCCATCTGTCTCATTACAAAGGCACCATGCTTACACAAAAACTCATTTGGAGACAACAGAAATGAACACCTGCAGTCACCCATGTATGACAAACAAAAATAGTTTCTGCCTTGGAGTCCGAGTAGAAAGCTAATACTCGAAGGAATCTCTACTAAGCCCTGAACTCCAGAAAGGCATATTGAAGTGAGGAGAGTATTTTGGTTTTCAGATGCTAGGTTTCACCAAAATTAGAAGGGTCTTTCCAGCTCATGGCACTGAACTGTAGAAAAAAATTAACTGTGAGCATCACCTGGTCTTTTGCAAAATGTGCTCATTCAGGTTCATCTCAAGGCAATGGTTTAATCCAGTGACTTTTCCATTAGTAAAACTCACTAAGCAGAGCTACCTGGGCTAGAAGACATAGTAATTTCTGTACATAGAAGAAAGAAAAATCTTTTCCTTTCTGAAGGGCTGTGGATTTCAAAGCTTCATAAAATAGAGATGGTCAGCCAGAGATTTTATCTCAGTAGTTAATGAAGTCTTGGCTCTGTCTCCCAAAGCAAAAAGATCTTGGCCAGCTCAAGGGGCTGAATGTAGGGCTTGCATTTCACAAAGTAAGGCTAAAAAGAACCATTATAATCCAATTTGATTTCCTGGGTAATATGGGTTTATCCTTACCCTTTGCTCCTGTCCATGCCAATAGGCATTAGCAGATGAATCTGATGAAAGCAGTACAAAGTTAAGTGGCATAGTAATACATAAAAAAAGCTGCGTTGATTTGTAGCCCCCAGATAAGTATCAAAAAAATGGAGCCAAAGCAAGAATGACCCTGAAAAATTTAATGAGCTTTTCACACCAGGCCCGTAAGTAGCATTTCTCAATTAGCAGTGGTCAGTAGGTGGAAGGTGCATACATGTACTGGACAGGGAGAGAAACGGTGCCACCTTTTAGTTACAGGATGGAAAATTATGCACATCTATCAGCCCCAAACTATCCCAGGAAGCAGCCATATCACTGACAGGACATACTTGTGGCAAATATATTTGCAAGGGGAAAAAACAGGCCAAGTCATCAAGGATGTTAACATGTTGTATTTGCTAGATCCAGGAGTGAAGCACAAGCCAGGAATCCTTAAAGGGAAATATAAGACACACACATGCCTGTCTGCTACTGCCACAGGTGTTCTGCTGGAAATTACAGATAGTACAGGTTATAAAAAAAGTTAATTTCAGTAGTCATTAACAATTTCTGTTACTGCCAAAGAAACACAGCGCTGCAGGAGACTTTTTCCTCCATCAGTATCACAGGTATAAAAGCCCATACAAGGCAAATCTGAGTTGAAACACACATTTATGGACAATCACCATTCACTGCTGGAAAAAGAAGGAAACATTCTTTTCCAAACCCAGCTGTGGACCATAACAAAACAAAAGCCTTCAGATCTTTTCTGGCTTTGAGGTAAAAGTCTTTGCCTCCTGCTTTCTCCAAATCATTCTGCACACTGAACTTTGCTTTGCTGAACCTTGTATTCTCCTAGAGGAGCAGATCGCAGCTCATTCACTGGAGACAATATAGAGTACTAATGACAGTTTTGGAGTAAGAAAATTGGAGATATACTCACAAACTTGCAAAAAAAGCAGGACAGTGGAAAATAGCTGTGCTTATTGTCTGTGCCAGTTCTGGCCACTAGTGGTTTAAATAGAGAGGCTTGTGTGTATATTTGACATTATCCTTCAGCAAAGGGTGTCCGACTGGCATGGGTTTTTTGCACCACTTAGGGCCCCTCCTCCAGATGGGCTTTGCAGATCTGACAGACCAGCGGGTCAGATACCTGTCAAAACAACACAAACACATTTCAGTTTGAGACTAATCCCTGAGAAAAGGTTCTGACTGAAGCAGAAGCAGGCATGGTAGCCTTTGCCTCCCCACATGCCTCTCTATAAAAGGAATAATCGTGAGCAGAGCTCCCTCAATTCAGAAGGGACCACTGGAAAGGAATTTTTGTTTGTTTTGGAACTTCTAAGTTGCACCTCTGTACTGAACCCTCTGGCACCTGCTTGACATCCAGTCCTGCGAAACAAATCAGGTATAGTCTCCAGGCTGCTGGCAAGTTGTCCACCTGTAGCTAAACTGGAGTGCCAAATCCCTTCATTGCAACTCCAAGACTGAATGCATCCGGCCTCTATGGGAGGTGTTATTTCAACAGCTGGCCTCAATAAGGTAAACTAATTACAAAGGCTAAACTCTGTGAGAAATAAAGTCCTCTAAAAAGCTATTCATTTAATTTCAGTGGATAATCGGTTATTTCTTCTGCATGGGATGGGTTTCTGGCCTAATCTTGCATTTTCATATGTCCAAATTTGCTTTAGTATTCTCTGTACAATACTATTGCAGCTTGCTGGTGCGGGAAGTCAGAACCTACAATGTAAGAGGTACTAGAATGGAATTATCATCACAACTACAAACCTCTGTGAAGACCAATGTCTGGCAAATATCCTCTGCTTTTTACCATTTGAAGTTTTAGACTTGGCTTTGCAAACAGGCAGGGGATTTCAGATCCAGAATCAGTTACTGGAAATCTTACCCTGTGGCTGGGTGGCCTGGAGTTTTGTTAGGCTTTAAATCTTTTGCTACCAGTAGAGAGGGGAATAGTGGTCCTTAGAGAAAGAGGAGTCTTTTCAGACAATAAAGATCCGAAGTAAAACCCTAGCATAATCTGCACAAACAATGCTCCAACAAATTAGAATTTGGAACAGACTGATAAACTTTGTCCAGCAATGTTTGCATGCCTCCGTTGAGTAATCCCGTGGTCTTGATGTAACCTCAATCAGTCATCCTCTCCTCAAACAGCTTTGTTACCTTTTATTTGCATCGTGCAAACTTGAGATATTAAGAACTTTGGACAGAGACCATGTAATGCATTTGTTTGAAGGCATTTGGCATATTCCTGAGAACTACAAAGAAAGCTTGCTATGCTAGGCAGCTACAGACTGTATAACAGCAGCCCATTTTCCTAGCACTTTTCTTCCTCCTGAACAACACAATTTGAAAAATGAACCACATTTGGAGGTTCCTGCCACTGAAATGAAGCCACTTCCAAAATGCTTTGCTTTTGCTTTGAGGAGTTTATGATAGTTAAAACACCTAGAAACAACAGGAGGAGGAATTTGGTAGACAGCATAGAGCAAGATCCAGCCACTTGTTCTCCTATGCATGCATTGAATTAGTCCCTTTTGACCTTTAATGTTATGGTAGTGCATTGGTGGAATCCCTTACATAACATTATCAGGACAGGAAGTTGGAGACTCTCCTGTCTCTAATTTCACATACACGGGGAGTTCGGAGAGTCCAAATACAGGTCCCCAGTTTGGAATCTGGCAAAGAACCATGGCAAAGCAGCTCCTTTCGGAGAAGCTGTAGGGGTATTTGACAGGCACATGGGGCTAGGTCCTTCTTTTCATATTTCCCTTGCTGCAGGGGGAGGTCTGTAGTGCAAGTTTTGATATTGCAAGACTGCACTTACAGTAAAGGAAGAAAAAAATCCCAAATTGTTTTAATGCATCAATGTGTCAAGTGCAGTTCTGGTCACGTGTCCACACGCTTACAGTAAAGTGCTCCCATGATAATAAATGATCTCACTGGGATAGAAGTGAATGTGTGAATGTGAGATACACATCAATGCTGTATGCAGGTTTAGACAGGCAGTGGCTTTTTAAGAAAACCCTCTGTTTCTGTGTGGGGGCTGGAAGTGCACACCCCAGTTCTGCATAGGAAGGAGGATTTAGTAATGGCCTGATTTTAAAGCTTTTGTTATTTCTCTTTTGAGCAGGTCTAATCCAGCCCTCTGGTCCAGGCTTTTGGCTTCCTTTGGGGACTGCAGGCTGGGGCTTTTCATTGTTAGCTGAAACAGACATTTGGACGCTTTCCCTTCCTGGAGCACATTTGCTTTTAGCACTTTTAATACTTGCTTTGTCCCAAACTCAAACTTGTCCTGTTTTGTTTGCTGTGTCTTTATTTTTTTTTTTTTTTTTTTTTTTTTTACCTTGATTCAGCAGTGGCAAAAGCCTGATGCCTGGTAGCAGTCAGTCTACAAAGTTCCTCTTCCTCTTTGACTAACCCCAGTTCCTACTGTTTCACAGACAGATTTTTTTTTTTTCTTGAGAGTAAAAACAATCCGCAAAACTCACATATTAGAGCTTCAAAGCCCAGCAGAGAGGACTTTCTGCAAACTCGGCTGTCCATGTAAGGTAGTACATCCCCTTTTCTAGCCAATTCACCCAACTTTCAATTGTATCCAACCACACGGTTTGTCTCGGGGAGTTTTTACAATAACCTGCAAACACACACTGGCAGATGGTCTGAATTTTCTCAACCAGCTGAGGGTTGTCAGGACAGAGCCTCCATGTGGATGCCAAATGCAGCTGGTCTGCGGTCTCCTAACCTGTTATCTCAGTGTGCAAAGCTCTCACTCTGGACAAAGTGGGACAGAACTGCCAATCTTGGTGACTGGCAACTCACCTCAGGGCTCTGCTTGCCTCCTTCAGTATGGTAGGATCCTGGTCAACAACCAGAATCCCTAGACTCCAGCTGCACAAATTACTAGTTTGGGTAAAGCGTGATGGGAATCCTGGTGGGATTTCCCTGATGGGAAAAGGCAAGGTATAAACAGGATGGAAATCACTGTGGTTAGTCACCTGCAGTCATTGCAATCGCTTAAAATCTCTGTGGCACGTGGAAGTCCATTTCCATGGATTTTATTCAGTGAGCAGAAGGGCCTCTAAGCCTTCCCACTCAGAGGCTGCCATTCAATACCTAGGAGCAGGCATGGGCC